GAAGAGGCAGTTTTTCTCTTGCTCACTTTCAAAGTCTCTTTCTCCAGACACCAATTTCAAATCATTTCTCCAGCTTGGCTCCCGCAACACTGCCTATTGCCATCCAACTCAACCACTCAGTATACCTCCTTTATTTCATTATCTCCAACCTCCTGGCCCGCCTTCATTTACTGATGATGGCAGTACTAGTTTTACTGCTTGTATCTGCTCCCCAAATTGGAAACACTCCTGTTAACTTCCATTCCAGATGAAGCATCCAGCCAACTCCTGGCCTCACTCAAACCTCTGACCTTTTATGACCACCCTAACTCAGCCACACTCTCATCCTGAATCTATACCAATGAAATACCTACGAATTCTTGGCTTTTAACTTCTCATTCTCAGATTAGCATTCCTCTCCCACACACACCAACCATTCTTTTATTTATTTATTTATTTATTTAGTACCAGGAATTGAACCCAGGGATACTTATCCACTAAGCCACATCCTCAATGCTCCCTTTCTAAAAAGTTTTTTTTTTTTTTTTTTTTTTTTTTTTTATTTAGAGGCAGGGTCTCTTTAAGTTGCCTGGGGCCTTGCCATGTTCCTGAGGCTAACTTTGAACCTTCAATCTTCCTGCCTCAGCTTCCCAAGTCACTGGGATTACAGATGTATGTCACTACACTTGGCTCTACACCAACCATTCTTGACCTCATTGGGACTTCTAACCCATGAGGACTGTTCATTAACCTTGTCATTGTCATCCTATCCCTCCTGGCCCAGTTTGGATATTTTGGTCTATTTGATGACTCCTTCCCTTGCACACCTACGTGACTCCATTGCTCTTCCATCTATCATATTCATGTTGAAAACTCAGACCATGAGAAAACCTGATTCTCCATCTGTCCCATATCCATTATTCACAGAAAAGTGTCTGACAAAATTTGGAGCTTGAATAACTAGTCAATGGGATTATAAAATGGTGCAACTGCTATGGAAAACAGAATGGAAGTTCCTCAAAAATTTTAAGATATGACTTCCATGTGATCCAGGCATCCCACTTCTAGATATATATCCAAAAGAACTGAAAGCAAGTTCTCAAAGAGATATTTGCACAACCATTCATGGCAGCATTATTCCCAATAAACAAGAGGTGGAAGCAACATAAATACCTATCAGTGAGTGAATGGATACACAAAATATGCTATATACATACAGTGGAATATTATTCAATCTTTAGAGAAAGAAATTGTGTCACACAATGAAAGATGGATGAGCCTTGAAGACAGTGTACAAAGTAAAATAAGCTAGTCACAAAAATCAAAGACTGCATGACCTCTTTATAAGGCATCTAGCATTGCCAAACTCATAGAATCAGAAGTGACCATTGTTACCAGGAGCTGGAGTGAGAAAGAAATGCAGAAGTGTTCAATGAGTATAGAATTTCAGTTTTGCAAAATAAAATAGTTCTGGGTATCTGTTTCACAACAATGTGAATAAAATTGATACAACTGAACTGCACACTTAAAAATGGCAAAGGGGAGGGGTTATGGGGGTAGGAAAGATGGTGAAATGAGATGGACATCATTACCCTAGGTACATGTATGACTGCACATATGGTATAAAGCTGTATCATATACAACCAGAGAAAAGAAAAGTTGTGCTGCAATGTGTATAATGACTCAAAAATGCATTCTGCTGTCATATATACCTAAAGAATAAATAACGTTTTTAAAAATGTTAAAAATGGTTAAAAGGAAAATTTTATGCTTTTTTCATATTTTAATTTTTTATTTGTTCTAATTAATTATACATGACAGCAGAATGCATTTCGATTCATTGCACACAAATGGAGCACAACTTTTCATTTATGTGGGTTTTTTTAACCAAAAAAACCCCCCATTTTTAATGCAATAAGACAATTGGGGTTACCCTTCTGTGGTGGTGCAGAAGTGGTATCTCTCTTCCTTTAGCATTAAACACCCCAGCACATGCACAGTCAGTACAGTCAACAGAAAGCAAGATCAAAAAAGTTTCTATTCTCTTTGCATTGGAAATTTCAAACTTATTCAGTGGCTTTAGTCCAGTACAGAAAAAAAGAAAGCTTAACCAAGGCCCACTTGGATATTTCCATTTCCATCTAATAATCTTCTCTAGCAACAACTTGAAAACAAATGGTTTTTCTAGTTATGCTGCTCATAATTCATTTATGCTCATTAATATGCAAACATCAGTTTCTCAGCTGGCAGTGATTTCATGAATTTTTAACTTACATGAGATAAGCCAGAGATTAAAACTTTAAAGCCAACAATACAGAAGACTGTGACTATAATTTTAATCCCTAAATCAGAAATCTCCAAGTGCATTCATTGGCATCTTCTAACGAACAACCACCTAGGAATTATAAAAGCATCATCTCTGAGATCTGACTTTAAGGTAATAATATAGACTTTCTGCAATGGTATTTGTTTGGAGATCATTAAAAACAGTGAAACCAAAGATATTTCTTGTCATTAAACTTGATCTGGGCAAACCTTACAGAGAAACTTACTTGCCTCTTACAGAAAAGCCACAATAGCTGGGTATGATGGTTCACACCTATAATCACATTTGCTCAGGAGCCTGAGGCAGGAGGATTACAATTTTGTGAGACCCTGTCTCAAAAATAAAATTAAAAAGGGCTGGGGTATAGTGCAGAGATGAAACACTTCCTGGGTGTAATCTTCAACACAGAGGGGGCAAAAAAGGAAAAAAATCTACAATAATTTATGGCTATAACCAATATACATGAAAATCATTTTGGCCAAAAGAAAATCAGAAAAAAAAAAAGGCAAATTAGAAAAGAGAAATTGGGACACTCTGAACCCAATTCCTTCTGGAAGTGTAAATCAAATTCTTGATTAACTCTAAAATAAGAAAGAATAGGCAGAGAGAAGAGTTCTCTACTTAAAATCCTTCTCATTTCTCCTATATATAGAAATAGAATGCAAGACACATAATTTTCAACACCTAAAAAACATATTTAAAAATAAACAGAAGAGGGGCTGGGAATGTGGCTCAAGCGGTAGCGCGCTCGCCTGGCATGCGTGCGGCCCGGGTTCGATCCCCAGCACCACATACCAACAAAGATGTTGTGTCCGCC